CGTTAAGCCCAAACTGCAATTAAATATATCTCCTTCTATTTACCTGGGTAACAATTGTCAGTTAATTTCGTGCTCGTGTTTCTTTCGTGTATGCCATGTTCAGTTTCCTTGTCTCGCTGTATCGGAGGCTCTGGCGGCTGAAGGGCAGGTTGCGGAGGAAGAGGCGAGGGCGAGTAGTAATGACAATGAGCTTCGTAGCTTTTTCTTTGACTCGCCAGATCGGGTAAGCGCGATTCTCCCGGATAATGGATCGCCGAGGGTGATGTTGCAATATGGTTGAACGGAGCTGGATTGCCACGGGTAAACGTGTTAAATCCATAGCGGGGCGCGTTGTAAATGTACTGCTGATAAGGCGGATGGTGCGGTGAGTTTTGCTGGGGAATGTGGTATTGGGGGTTATAATGGCCGTAAGTCTGACTACTATACCCAAATCCTCTGGCGTACATTTTCTTGTATATCTCCTCAGCAGTGGCATCGACTGCTGATTGTAAAATTTGATTTCCGCCACGGTTACATATGTTTTTAGATCAAACTGCGACTGTTTATGTCATGCACAGCTCGTGAAATCGATATTCCATGGTTGCACGTGCAACAAGTCGCTGCGCTCCGTTTTGATGTCAGCTGATACACACAGTTGTTGCAAGTGGTCGATTTTGGGGGCCTCAGACAGGCGGGATTGACGCATATGGCCCCTGTCTTCGAAATAAGCGCATTTCCAAACCTAGTTCAGATTGCTCCAGCACGTTTTGAAATCACGTTGGCAAGCCATTATATGTTAATCGTTGGCTTGGCTGAAAAATACCAAGTTTTCTGGTGGATAAATCACACAAAAATTGCTCTTTATTTGTCGGTAATGGCTGCCACACGAAAAATAAATATCGTCTGCAATCCGTACCCTTGTGATAAACGTTTTCTTTGAGTTTGCCGACTTTATCAGATGCTAAATGAATTAGAGCTTAACCAAGGTAGTCCTTTCTAATCATTTCTAGATTTTTGTCCTAAAAGAATTAAATGCGGAACTATATCGGGTTTTCCATCTGCTTGGCGCGTTTAAGAAAACACCAAGGTGTAAGAGGAAGATCTTTGGGTCCAATCGAGCGTGCTGCTTAAGTGTTTCCACTGATTTACAAGCTTTCTGGCATATTTATTGTGTTTTCTAGGTAAACATCAGAAAGCAATTTATGCTATGAAATAAATCTTATGATGGCACTAAATTAATTAGCAAATTTTTTGTCAAAAAAAACCTTGGAGTTCCGGTCGCCAGATTGAATTTGTACATTGATGAGAAAGTGCGTAAAAAGAAAAGATATCTATAATCAGAAATCAAATAAGAGATGTCGCCCAATTAAAATTGTGTTTCGATTTACAAGATAAGAAGATGGTCTTTTTTTTTAAGGATGAAAAATCAATTTTGTATGTGTCCCTTTCATGGGGAATGAGTTTCTGTGAATTGGCGAAGTTTCCGCAGGAAACTGTTAAGCTGTTTCAGTTGTTTATGCTGTTATTTTCACCACCTTTGAGATGTAATTCAGCCAACTAATTATTTAGCAGACTTAAATATTCGCCTTTGCAAAGAACGTTAAATAACACTTTTATCAAAGGGCGGTTTAACTCGTCACGGCCGTCTCCAATAAAATATCAGGATATTTGAACTTCTGATTGATCAAGATAACTGTTTTATGGACACTTGGGACTTTCCATTGGTTTTGTTATTGACCTGCATTCTAAGTTCAACTTTAATTGCTTTTTTTGCACTCGAACCTCCACAGCACAAGTAAATGTCAAGCTTGATTATGTTGCAAAGTGCAATGTCTAACGTTTGCGTCGTTCTCACTTAAAGACACAAAGTTATTAAAGTTCCAACGCCATTGCAATTTATGTTTCTTTTTTCCCACAAAAATGCACTGCTTTTCATTCGAATTGTAGAGAGCAGAAATTAAAGTCACTATTTTTCTGTTGTTGTTCAACAGTTTGATGAGCCTTCAATTTGATACATTCCGGAGCGTTTTATGTTGTATACAAAAATTAAATTACCATTAGGTTCGTTTTATACAACTAAACGGACACAGAGCCCTAGCTCTTGGGTTTAATTAAGTTTGAACACAGTGAAAGGTAATTAGATCCTTTCGTAATGAGGAGTCGCAAATAAGGACTTCCTTCAAGGACAATTAAAAGAACAAGCTGACAGTGAAGGCTATCTTGTGCTTGCCTCAGAAGAGGATTGTAAAGAATGACTACAAGAAAAGAGCAAAAAAAATAAAGGAAACAACAAGAAAAGAAAAATCAAGCAAACAAAATTTCAATCAAGATAAACTACAGATAGTTTGCCCCAGAAGATGATAAATTAACTCATATGTCGTTAACGGAAATTTAATTGAATAGAACGAAACGAGACAGACAGAAAGGTTAATTTGCTTGACAAAAATCTGTGTTCAGATATTTCATCTTTCTTACAAAAGTGGATCACAACAATATTTGTTTAGTACAGCCTCTGTTTTAGTCCATATAAGGTACAACACTTTCCTTTTTGGTCAAACAAATAATAGCTTTTCATTTTATGATTCTAGAATATCAAGGTACCATGAGATCTTAATGTCTGGACAAATTCGTATTCAACAAGGTGAAAAATATCAGCTCGCTCGGATAGAAAAACGCAAAAGAGATACCACAGACGGTAGTAAACCAAATAGGAGCGAGGATGGAGAAGATTAAAAAGGACTGTAAATGACCACAAAATATTCGTTCGTTCCGATAGAGAAACTCGAAAGCGACAAAAAATAAACCATGTAGGAACAAGGATGGGGAAAATTATAAAATATTGCAAGGGAAAACAAAATGTTAGCTCGTTAAGACGCAAAAATCCAAGAGAGAAAACAGTAGGGCAAGAAGGAACAAGCATGGCAAAGGATTGAGAAGATGCAAATGGATTCCAGATTACATGCAGAGTAAACGGAACCATAAGTCGTGGCTTTATTAAACTCACAATTCCAACATTTTTATACCGGTCCGACTGACTGAAATTTAATAAAAATGCCCAAAATTCCAACTGTTTTGCACTTGGCAGACCTTTAGAGTCCCACAGAGATTCTTTCAACGTGAAGGGGGCGTGCAATGAATCGTGTATCGATTACATATCATCAGACAGACTATCATCAAGGTTTTGAAGTCAGCGTTTAACACAAACCGCCGGCACGTCAGAAACACTGACCCCTGCTCTCGTCGGAAGCGCTTAGGGTGATCAGCTTGCTTATGAAATATTTCCAGATGTCTTTTTCCTGAACGATTATTCTTAATATTCAGGCAAAAAATTTTGGTGCAATTTGCTCCATTGTGTTGCGATCGATAGACTTATACGGACTTGCATTTCGTTATGATCAATTCTAACAATTGCTTCACTTTACCGCGACGAGTTTCAAATGGTCAGCCTACACTGAGTAATTTGTTAATGAAGACTACTGTCTTGTAGGAATTTATTGGTGATATTTACTTTCACATAAACTAGTGAGGTTATAGCGATTCAGACTATACAGGGAGAGTTAATCATTTAAAGGAGAAACTGACAATCATATTTTTCTTTAAAAGTATTCAACTACCAACTAGATTACGGGTCGAAGCCAAGGCTTTTACATGTCAAACAGTCTGCACAGTTTTATGACATTGTGAATTTTTGTATTTAGCTCCTCAATGGGTCCTGAAATATCGGCCCTTCCGTCTTGAGTGAATTTACATTTAATTTTATAGGGTGTTCATTAAACATATCCATCTCTCTTGGCGTTAAGTTTACAACAGTTTTTAAGATTTGGGTTTGACGTTGTTCAATAATATTTACTATGGAGTTGTGCTCAAGTTACTGATATATTTTTCGCGAATCTTGGAATACTGTAGCTCCACAATCGCAGAAGGTCAATTGAATCATTCACCACTTTCATCCCTTAAAACTGGATAAATAATTGTAAAGTAACTCAGTTTTCCTTTTAAAATATAGCACTGCAACAGATAAGTGCATCAACATAGATCACATAGACCACTCGGTCTCGGAATCTAATTAAAACGAGCAAGCCGGGCACTTGACACCTTCTGTATTGGTAGTAGTTCCCCTAAACGAGTAACAAGAAATCTACAAACTGATACATTAAGCTTAGCTACAATACTGAAATTCTCTATATTTTAAAATAGTGAGGCTTTACGGATTCAGAAAATAAAGAAAGAACGACAAAGGTTATATTATATTGCCTTTGTTCCTCTCAGTCTTTTGCAACTTATTCCAATCGACTTCCGCTGTATTTTAAATTTGTCATTTTAAATCAGCATTCGTGTTCTTTTCATTACGCGTTACAATTCAAAATATATGTGATAGAGGTTTACAGACTGTACATAGATAAAAAATACAATTTTCTTTACCATTTCCGCAATTTTTGTATTCAATGGATTGCCATGCCGCGTTACCTTTTAATATTACCTCCATCCGAACGACAAATTAACGGTTCAAAAAAAAATTCTTAATTTTACCTATGTTAGCTCCCTTGTTTCTGACTAAATAACATGATCTTCGCCCTTTTCCTTTTAAATCTCTGGCTTTCCTTGAAGTTATCGAGCTTGTGTCTCCAAATCCGTGGAGAAAATCCAACAGAACACAGTTCCCTTTGGTGTACAACGCAATTTGGATTCACAAGTTCTTTCTTTAAAGTATTTTTTATTTGACCCATAAGCAATCATGTTGTTGTTTCTTCCTCTTCATCCTCAACAGAATAATTCCCCCTTTTTTGTAAAGGCTGCCCTTTTATCCTCTTCCATTTCATTCGCCGATTTTGAAACCAAACTTTTATCTGTCTTTCGGTCAAGTCCAAACTCACTGCAATTTCGTACCTCCTCAATCTTGTTAGATAATTGTTACGAAGGAATTCATTCTCCAGTTCTTGAAGCTGATGTTTTGTGAAAGCTGTCCTCTCTTTTCTTTTCTTAGTGTCCGTACTTGACCCCGTTTGTTCCTCAGAACTGGGAAAATCTGTTTTAGAAATACAAAAAGGAAGACCAAATATAATTCAAGGGGATACTGCTGAGCAGCGCGCCAGGGAGTCTCGCAAATCAACTTCTTTCCCTTTCTCAAAATAAATTAACTCAGATGTTAAACTCATTTAAACAAAAAATCTCCACTGCGGCTTTTTAATGGTCTTTCCAGTCGAGGTTTTGTTTTGGATACTTATAGTTCAAAATACAGACTCTGTAGGAATGCTTGCGCGCATCGGAGTTGTTTGGGATCTTCACGCAGTGAAGCTAAGAGCCATTATGTTTAGTTAGTAGTCATGCAAAGAGTCAGGAAGAGGGAGCAGCAATGCATTGGTCTGTTTAGAGTTAAAAGGAAGCCGCCATGATACGCGGCAGAGCAAGAGTCATTGATGAAGTTCGAAGGCCGAACTCCGAGCGCTAAGAGTAAGTATTGATTTACCGTAGTCATTTTCATATAAACTGTTGCTCGGAACACTTGCGTTTTAAAATTTGGTGTTAATAACAGTTGCGCTTCATTCCATGTTTTCATTTGCGTGCTGAATCAGTTGTGCTGCCATGTTTTAAATGCTCTATATATGCGTTACACGGTATTTGATTTGTGTTTCACACGCGAGCGCCTTCTGTTGTGCCAAAATGGCAGCTATTGATTCAAGGCTAAACTACAGATCCTAGAGATTTTGTTCGTAGGGCACGTTCATTATTCATCGCGGTAGTCTTCAGGAAGATGAACTGCAACTCAGTCTGATGAATTCTCGAGTTCGGAAGAAAAACGCTGGTCGTTCAGGCATCTCTTTCTCAAAGGAGTTCTTTGTGAGCATAAATTGATAAACTGATTTAACGTCTTCACCAGAGAAAAACAGTTATCAAAAATCATGGAGAGATAAGAAGATAAAACACAGTAAAAGGTAACGCGACTCCATCAGATCCATTTAGGTAACTTCGTCTTTGTTTTCTTATTTTCTTCAGTCTAAACTTTCCTCAACAAAGACAATACGCACAACAATAACAAACAATGAACGTTTCTTTTAGCCTCGGGGCATTTCTCTTTCAAAATCGTATTTGCTTGGAAGGTTGGACTTCTTTCAATTTATTGCAGGAATTCAATAAAGAAGTTAACTCTAATCTCGCAGGAAGAAAATCTCCCCACAATCAATTGCCGCTTCGTAAAAAATAAAAAATCAGCCACGTAAATGGCGTTACTTTTTCAGCGCCGAAATATGCGGGTGCGCCATTTTGATGACTTTCAGATGGCTTGAACTCACCGTAAGAAAACATTATGCAATTTGGATACAAAGAATGCTGATATATCATTATCAAACCTCCCTTTTTAATCAAATATAGTAATTCTTTTAGGCTTGCTCAGTCTTTCAGAATTTTTTCAGAAACTCCATCACTATACAGGAAGTACCAACACTTGAATAGGTGGGGTTGTAGAGGGCTGTGTCGTCGTCAGAGATGGTTGAAGTTCGGTGCCTTTTGAAATCCTCTCATCTCAACCGCCTAAACGCTCCACTAAAATCAACATTTTTGTGGTTTTTTCAATCTCCCGTTTCTGAGATAAGGCAGAAAGCTTACTATTCTCTCTGTAATTTTGTGTCGGTTAAAGTGTCGAGCCTAATGAGTTGAAACTTTTGTTTAAAGTTTTGGGCTGCTTGGTGTGCAAAACAATGGAATTCAGCTTTATTGTTTTGGAGTCATGATCAGTTCTCTTGTACTCAAGCCACCTTTCACTTTGGTTCTTTCTTTGGTTCGCATGCACATAAGTAAGAGCTGGGGGTGTCAATTTTGCGTTCGCCCAGATGATAATTCTTTACCACCACGTTCTATTAAGTTAATTATCTTCAAAGTAACGGTATTTCAGAGAATAAAGCGCCTAACTTTGAAATCGCGTGAGCCAACAAAGGCATTTAAATTCTCGGACTGATGCTTGTTAGGCGTCAACTGAAGGATTAGCCATTCTCATTACTAAGCTATTCGTTCTTGTCCAGGGAAACCAGACAGAAATTGATTTTAGAAATGTGGACATTTTCGAAAGCCTACATCAGCTGGATCTCCCTTAGTCGAAAGGACGGTGTAGGTCAACCAAATATTCTTCAGTTTTCATAAACATTTCGCAGTTATGCATTTTGGTACAGAAGAATTAAAAACGGTCTTATCTTCAGCCAGAAATGGTAAAAAAAATTCGATTCCAAATGACTGAGAGACTTTCTTGTTAGTAAGGCAATGAGAGAATGCCCTGCTTTGCATACAGCTTGCTTTGCGAACAAGTTTTTATTTGGAACTCGTGAAGACCAATTCCTCGTTAAGCAGACAAAAGTTTCCCAAACATTTTCACAATGAGAGCTATTGGGAAACGGTAAAGCTGTGTTTAAGGCTCTCTTTTTAAACATAGTTGCTTTCTGTATGAATCAAAAGTGTTTACTTATCTAAGATGGATCTTCATAGGTGAGGCCAACTTGTAACACATTGAACAAATAGTCTAAGTTTCAAAATTGAACATCAAGCTTAATAGAAGTTAACTTGTTTCAGACCAATAAAAATAACAATCAACTCAGCTCAAGTGCAGACTGTTGTGGATCTGTTTTTGGTCTTTCAAGAAGTAATTTACAAACAGAAATCGGTACCAGATTATTGCACAAATTCTGTCAACAATGAATTTTATGACTCTCTCTTGTCGGACTGAGGTTTGAGTCTGTTAAGTTTGAACTTTTTTCTTTGATACTATAATTCTGACCTCCGTAGCTCTTACTTTGTGTAATGAAGGTGATATCAAAGATGGTTCATAAACTACGAAAATTTGTAAAGCTCACACACTAGAGTTGGATGAGGGATCACGTCTCCGTACATCAAATCTCTTGAGGCTTTTAGCAGGTCCGTCAATAAGGTTGTTCTTTACATTGATGTGCGGCTTCTCTTGTGGCCAACTTCAAGTATGATTAATTGTTAAAACCACAGGTCGGAGAAATTTGTAACTAAAGCACTCGAAAGGGTGTTATTAGACCACCAAAATAGACCACAGCTTTGCAGAGTTGCATTTCTTATTGCAATGGCGAACTTAACTCTCATTACAGACAAATAAAAATTTAAGTGATCAAGAAGAGTTCAGTTTGAAATTTGAATCTTTTCTGAAAGTCGTTGGTCCTGTTTGGGTCTATGATGCTATCATAAAAAGTGTGTTTCGCCTTGTGCTAAAATAAGATTCTGTGTACTTCCTTTCCCGGCGGCTAACTGATAACCTCAAATTGTTACTACGTGCAATTAGAGAAAACATTCTTTTGTGGTGTTCGATTAAAAATTTGCGTTTTCCAAATTGAAAATGAAAACTTACGTCACTAAGTGGGAAGTGGAAAGATTTCTTAGTACGATCCAAAGTTGGTGAATATGACGGTGTGGTCGAGCTTTACTACGTGAAACCCTTCGGGAAGTCAGGTCTTCAATGGTTGTATTCTGCTTCTAGTCTACAACAAGATTACACATTCCTAACGTACACACATTGTAGGAATAATAGTAAAAGTATTCTGACATTTACTGTAAATTTTGAGTGTGAGTTGGTAGATGATGGGCCAACTAAGCCGCCGAAATTCCGTGATAATAGCGTAACGTTCACAAACAGCCCTCCATGTTTAGTCAGCTTTGTTGTTTTAGTTCATCAATTGAAACTGTCAAACAACATGAAGATCTAAAGGATTTTCCTTCGTTTGATCAGCTATTACCGAGTGGCGATCACTAAAGAGCAAATAAGAAGTGTTAATTATGAGATTTTGTTGATCTAAATGAGCTCGAAAAGTAATTGTTGTAATGTATGATTGGTGACAGTTTATATATTTGCGTCGAAACACGCTTCAGCATGACTGGGAAATGTCTTTTTCTTTCTTTTTTTATTGAAGGTGGAAGCTTTGCATGGAAAGTAGCCAATGTTATGTATGAAAATAAGAGTTTGATTTCGTGGTCTTACTTCTGTGAATCCTTAAGCTATTGGCATTCTGTTTAACAGAGTATTTACTCTTTCTCCGAATCTTTCCTGTTTAAACATACCCACATGTATTTGTATCAAGTCCTGTTGAAACTATAGATAAATGAAACGACAATTTCCTTTAGAAAAGTGCAACAAAGAAAACATAAGTTTCTGTTTTCGTTTTAGTAACATATGCCATTATGGCAATACAAGGAAAACAGCAGGAAATTTTGCATGGAAACCAATTCAATCGGGGAAGTTACCTTTAACGCCGTCGTCGAAGGACTCTGATCCTCGACGATTTCTACGTCGATCAAGCGGACGCGAAGTGACTCGGAAGAAAACTGGTAAACCTTTTTCTTGAAGCATGCACGAAGGCCGATCTTCTGTCTGAGCGCGATGGTTTCCACTCAGTTGCTCGGTTAGGTGCGAAAGTGGAGGTGGAGGGTGTCGCGGCAATTCTGAGAGATCTTGCGGCTGTATCGGAACGTTGCTGTAGTTAGTAAATCGCGACTGAGAATATCCATAAGGAAAGTGAACTGCTCCTGCATAATTCTGCGGAGGGTAGGAATACGAACTAGGCTGAACATCGTACGCTCTTGGATACATTTGCGTGGAATACAAAATAGAAAACGGTTGGGTTTCACGTCGCGGTACAGGCTTTTCCTATCAAAGGTAATTAGCAGGGTTTTCTCTCGCTGAGACTTGGCCGGTCGGGGAATGCGCGCTGAAATCGATCCTGACACAAATACACCGCGCAGATTGTGACTGTCAAATCATGTATAAGACAGCGTTACATGTCAACAAAGCCGTCTTTTGATTGCATTGAAAATCAACAAGGCTCTCAAGGAGGTGCTTGACTTGGAGAAAGCAAATATTGGAAAATGAACAAACTAAATAAACCTGAAAATTCTCGCTTTGGTGAGAGAGAGAGCCGAATTTGTGGTCAGGAGCTACACGCGCGGAGAAATCTTTGTTGATTGGAAATTCTGCGCTAAGGCCTCGTTATCTGATGAATACCGAGTGTACTTCATATTACCATCATACTTTGAAACTAATTTCGTTTCTGTGCTTCTTCAATCTTCTCTCTCTTTCTTTTAGATCTTGCTCTTATATAGAATTGTCAACCGATTCTCTTCGAGTTACGTTTCTTCGTTGCGTACGTAGAGTTGGAAATATTTTTCATTGTAAATTATCACGGTTTAAGGGAGCTGTCGAAGTGATTAAAAAACCACAGGTAGTATGGCCCCCAGCCGTTCTTATTCACAAAGAGAGCACCGACGTATCACTTCAAAGTTCAGAGGAAAATTTCGCAAAATGCGGAACAGATGTGAACTCATTGTCTTCTCTCTGAGCACCGACCATGCGCAAGACTTTTCCCTGCAGAGAGGCATATTTTGCTGCAAAATTTACTGTGCGATCTCGATACAGTCTTCCTGTTTACGAAAACAGCTCATAGAGAGAAGCATCCTTTTTTCCTTTACGTTTTCTATCTGGCTCATCACATCTATAAAGGAACAAGTCCAATTGTCACTGTTCTTAACTGACACTGAGATCTTTTATCGTTCATGCAAAATTCTGTTTGATGTGAAATACTTGGACCGGTAGCTTATTTTTTCTTACAATTCTTTCCATTCTTCCTGGCCTATAGTTAAGAGAGGCAAAGAGCTCCTTAGTGGAGCTTCTTACTTATCAATTATTTTCTCAGGGGGATGAAAATTCTCAGTGATTTCAAAGAATTACATTTCATTTAGATAAAATCGCATCTCACAAGGCAGGGTAGTTCTTTTTTTTTTTAAACGTTTTCCACATCCGATTTGTTGTACCAATTTTCAGGAGATATACTGATATTAACCGCTTGACTGTTTCAAGAAGTTTCTTCTAGTTGGACCTCAATTTAAAAACATGTCAATTGAGTTGAGTTGCTCACACTGGAATCCGAGACATTCTTCAATCTTTTTCGTTTTATACTGGTTTGGAAAGAGTCGCATGTCCGCGGGTTTAGCGATAGAAGGGTTTTGCAACTAAATGAAATAATTTGATCAGATACCTCGGAAGAACAGGTCAAACTTTTTTTCGTTGTTCCATTTTAGAATACCTTTGGCCATTTTGAACTATTAGCGGAGAGTCTCTTTTTCTTACCCTGGACTCAAGCCAGTCACGTCAGGTTGCGCGGTACAAATGAAGATTAATGATGCATAGACACTAACTGGCCTGGATTGACTAACAACATCCGGATAACAAGTCTATGGAGTCGCCGGCTGCCGCACTATTAAGCGTTCCCCCGTAAACATATATTTCCCCGCTGTGCAAATTTTTCTCTTATGTGTAAAGGATAAAATTTTTCAGGGACAGGGCAGATGGATTTCATTTTCCAACTTTTCATTTATCAGAGTCTTTCTTGTAGCTATCAATGCTAGTGTAGGTTTTAAGACTGAAGTATCAATATGTAGTTGCTTAAAATCAACAGTCTTTGTGCGCTCGAATCTCTATGTGATAAGTTCTAATTGCAGTCGTGAGTGCAGAAACTGCAGAGGTTTAGTTAAGCATGTCAACAATGCTTATCTGGTCGCTTGTTTAGAGCTGTGCTAACAGGTTGATGAGAATCCCGGAAAAAAGTTCTTGAAAATTAATTAACCTTAGTACTTCATACCCTGCCCATGTCACGACATTGATTCTTGTGTTGGGTGACGAGAGCAATAATTTTGACTGAAATACTCAAGGTATGTTGTTAATAGCTTGTCACTCATCCACAGTGTGATTTTCGGGAACAATTGAATCTTTGCCTCCTCAAACTCAGTCGCACCAATGTTAACTTAATCTCTCGCTGAGGTGAAGAAACCCGTAGAGTCCAGAGTTTTTGCAACTTCTCAGCGTTGCCAGCGAGACCTTGCTCTTCCAACTGAGTATCTGTCAGTTAACCTTTATTAGCACGCTCTTGCCCCCTCAAACATTCAACAAAATATTAGCTATTCTCTCAATAAGATATTCTGCTAGCGTGTCGGCATATTTCTTACTCACGAAGAGGTAATTCTGAAACAGCCTCAGCTTGCTGTTACGAGTTTTAACCTTGATTCAGCATGTTTGATATGAACTCCTTTCCTAACAGCTTGTAACTTTATTACGCGGTGTTTTTTAGCTTCATCAGTCATTGTCCGGCATGTTACCTAGTGTCTAAGTCTCTACACCATATATTTTCCGTTGTTCCGTTTCTCTAGGCTTCAACACAACCTGAAACAAGTATTGGGTTTTACGAAGAAGTTCCTAAGTTTATCCCTTGCAAAGCAAACCAGTGAAGAAAAATCTGGATCGTTTACTCCTCAGAAACTCCAATTAAGTGTATCTTATTTCATCCAACTTATGCCCTTAAAATATATTTCCGAGCATTAGCAAAGGCTTCACCAAGACAAATCAAATAACCTCTTGCTTTTTTTCCTCAAACTATCCTTGATTCAGCAAAAAATGTGAACAGACAATGCAAATGAGTCAACGAAAAGTAGTGCGATGACAGTTTACTTGTAATATTAAATACACTATGAGTGAATGAAGAAGACTAATCTTTTCTCTTATTCAAAATCAAATTTTCTTGCTGTGGAAACCATGCTTATCAGCTGATTTGTCTTTGATGATGGGACAATGATTTTCTGTTGATAACTGATAGTTACAGCTTCAGTGGAATACTATACGACTATGGATACGCTATAGCTATTTCTTCAGACAGAAGTTTGCCGGTTACACTATTAATGGTGTTTAATGGTCGACCCACGATTAGGAATTTTTCTTTGGCTCTAAACCTTGTAAAGTAGCCATTTACAAACTGAAGTTTGCCGTAAACAAATCAGTGGCAAGTTTGAGCCAACGACTTTTTGCAACATCTCAACCTAACGTCAGAGACAGGAAAAAGAATCTAAAGATTAAATTTAGACAACAATGTTCTAAAAATACCAAACATGAGCGATTGTAATTAGGTTCCGAGTACTTCCAGTTTGTGGCTCTGATGTGATCGCCGCGGTGAGATCACAGCACACGGTACATTATTGTGTACAATCAGGAATACTATCAGCCCACCTGAGAACAGCGTTCAAAAGTGATTTGAGAGCTGCTTTGTTTTCTAACAGTCATAAACAACACACGTGAAACGATACTATAAATTTCCCAAAACCGTTGCCAAAAAGGCCATAACGCTTATCTCATCGCAAGGATATTTTTGTTTAAAAAAACAATTTGTAGGTCAAACTTCCTAACCACACACATATCATATGATCTCGATTCGTTCGCTTTCGCTAATTTTGACAACTTTTAGGACGACAGCAATTTCCAAAGCCGAAGAAAATTCATATTGTTACTTTGAAAATTGTTCGGTTGATCATACTTTAGAAAGAGGTTTTAGACGATGATCGCTAAGTATCGACGACAAACAAGCAACAAAGCGTTCATGTCAAATGAAGCTAAGAAACGTAAAAAACGAATCAGTGAAGATGCTAAAGCTTCGCTGAAAAATGTCGCGAAACATTAAGACTATAAGTTTTAATCTCTCACAGCCTTGAATCGGTTGCTATTTGCAGGTCCACTGTTCATTTGCAGTGGCCGTGAAGTCACTACATTGACGTTGACACTTTCAAGATACAGCTGTACAGATAAAGACTTTTTGAAGATCAGTCTTTGTGCAGAACATGTGTCTCGTGGCTGGTGGTCCAAATTACAATGATAGCCCAACAAAACCGGAGATAAAAGATAAGAAGATCAGCTTATCTGTTTCTTGTCACTGAATTTGGAGATGACACATGCAAACGGTTGGCACAACTTTTGCATCTTGTAATACTTACCGTTCTTACCCCACAGCAATCATGTTTGTTATTGCGCGATCCATGTCTTTCAAATAAGTTCTCCATCCTTTGCCACATACAAAAACTGTCTCAACGATATCTCGACTTGCATGTACTTGTAGCTCAGACTCTGTTAAATGCGCAAGAATCTCAGAACGGTGGCGCCATCATTTTTACGACGATACAACTCTTAAGGATGAACATTTCTTTTAATCATTGGTTTCGTGTTATTTCATATCATCTTTAACTCTTTTAATAAGACCCCATTTTGCAAGCTTGAGGTGTTCTTTTTGCATGAGAACAAACCGCAAAGTGAAAGACATTTTCAAATAGAAGTACGAGTCATTACCGTCTGTCTACTTTTCAATCTGTCATTATACAACCGATTTGACGACTGAAATGTGGCCTGACTTCTCAGGTCTTGAAACGGTCGTAAACGGCGGTTTTACAATAATTCTCACCAATCATAGGAAAGGTGAACTGTGTAAAGTTATTTATTTTTTTACATGGTCAACAATTCGTTTGAGTACTTTGCCCTTCTCTCCTTTCAAGAAACCCAGTTTCCATACCTTTCTAGCAGAGGTCAGTTTAAATCTGGAATACTGATTTCTTCTTACAATTCAAGCTTAGTGAAAAAAGGAATGCTGTTTTGAACATGGGCGAAGAAACGGGTCAGGAACCTTGAGGCACTGGGTGAAAGTAACAAGACTCCGTCAATAACTGATTTTGTCTGTGGATAGAAAAGGCGTTAGATTTGTACATGGACAATTAAATCAAATCCGATGATCAGTGATAAAATAAATTGAAACCTTCAATGCTCAGGCTACGAGAAAGAAAATAAAATTCTGTTTCACGAGGAGAATTTTTTTTCATGGGACACTGAGGGAGCTTTGAAATATCACGAAATTTCAAACCGAAATTAAATTTAAAGATGGAAACAGCTTAGTTTTGAAGCCTATATATTCGCCTTTCATGCCATGTCTTCAATATGTCGCATAGTAAACTACGACAGTATGCATGTCACATCTCGTTGGCATTACCCATGTCTTCGTTTCGTTTCGTTTTTGTTTAGCTAGAGAAGAACATGGGAAGAAAAAGTCTATCAATATCATTTTAAACATTTATTCGTGTTATTCTAACTTTACATCACACTGTTTTTATTTTATGTATACATATATCTACGCTTGCGGTAACGTATTATATCGTGGTAAATATTTTTTCAAAGCATTCTTGTAAATAATTTGTATAAACAATAAATAGCTGAACACAGACATTCTTGATGTGTGATCTCTCCAAATTATGTGCATTTCTATACATAACTAAAATAAACTCTTACACCGGAATGATCTCTCTGAATAAAATGATTATATCAAAGAAGATGTACAGTATTTCACTTTGAACAAACAAATGAAAAGAACGTTTTAAACTGAACGTCAAAAATCTATTGAGCATGAGTTCCTAGCATTTGCCAAGCTGAGTTGTTTATGTCAGCATTTAGCGTTTGTTAGCCCAATATAATTCCTGTTAATTGGAGAATAAATCAGGTGAAATTGCACAAGTGTTATACCTTATGAGCTTAACACTTCCTGAAGGAAATTATAGGACATCGAAGGTCGGGTTTGATTCGATGTTTTGGGAGATTTGATACAGTGCTGTTGAATGTAAATTAAATGTTAAAGACAATGGTTGAGGAAAAACCATTTAACAAGTGAGTGCATGGTGCGGTGCTGGTTTTAAATTAAAATCAGTCAATCCTATTTCAATCAATTAGGTAATTCAATATATATTTAAAAAAATTGTTATTTTAACCATCGTCTGAAGGAGGAAGAATTGATCAAAACTTTGAAAAATGCAATTTCGTACATTTACTTAATAATATAGAACATGAACTCAAAGAAAGATTCCTTCATAACATTTGGTAACAAAAGGCAAATAATTTCTTGATCAATAGACCTTACAGTGTTTTAAGTTTGCACCAATAACTTTATGACGAAAAATTAGAATCTTTCGTACCACTGTTCAATAAATTGCCAGATCCATTTGATCCGCATAAGCAGTTTTCTTGGGGGGTATTCCTCCTCGTACTCTTTTCCATTTCATTCTTCTGTTCTGGAACCATACTTTCACTTGTCTCTCTGTTAAGTCCAAACTGACAGCCACTTCGTATCGACGCAGTCTGGTCAAATAGTTGTTTCGGCCAAACTCTTTTTCAAGTTCGTGTAGCTGATATTTTGTGAATACTGTTCTTTCCTTCCTTGCCTTGTTTTTGGAACCTTCTATTTTATCATATGAAATAAAAGAAAGAAAGAAATTTTTAAAACTAAACACACTGTCTGAAGACATCTTACGTAATTAGGAGAAGCTTCAGAGCTTTTCTTTCACGAAGTACTGTTTTCACCCAGTTGAAAAAGGCAATTCTATTAATTTTTACGCGACATCCACATTGTCGTTTGTTTTATATTTTGGATGAAAATTTTTGGTTTCAGCCTAAATCGTGATCTACGCCTGGTAGCTCTAGTTGGAAATATTGCTTTTTCAAGAACCTTCGACCCGTTATACAATTTTATTATCGTGTAGATTTAAAAGGAGCAGAGGTCTAAGGAATATTTTACTTTGCCTTTTGCGTAGGTATGCCGTATTTGAAGTTTTTTTCCTCTGTAGTGCTTTACACTATCACACAATTCTTCAAAATATTACACAAGCTGAAATGCAGAATTGAAAGTAAATCAGTGATACACACCTATGAATCCACTTAAATGATGAAGGTTTGAACTCAATGTGATCATTCTTTTCGTGCGACATTGCAGATATTTGAAAATATCGACCATCGGTAGAAATAGGAAGTTCCCACAGTTTAATCTTTAATAGATCTAAAGATTCTGTTTAGACCTGTATTTCGTGCAGTTTATTTAAAAAGAGCCGACATTTTCGCCTGCGGGGTATCTTTTTGTTTCTTTGATATTCCAGTCCTGTAGGCCTTAGTTTCTAATTATTCAATTTGTTTACTAGTGGGATTAAAAAATGTAACACGTCATATCCTAATTTCTCACGTTCTCACTGCAAAGAATTAGATAAAAAAGGCATTTTTTAAGTTCTATTTCGAGTCCCGACATGTAGTCAAGAAGTCTGGTTTAGGATAGATCGCAGCCTTCTTTCCGTCAACGCAAAGGCAAACCCGATCAAAAAAACTCGGTGTCCAGTGCAGGTGATACTTTTCAGGCGTTATCAGGATATAGAACTTGAAAAGAGAAAGCATTGTGAAAATATTGAAGGACGTCCTGTTTCATCACGTTTGATAGTCAAAGTTCATGACGCCCGCTAGCGATGTCATAATTTTCAGCCCGCACAGTTGCAATTTCCTCAAGTAAACAGCTTGAAATGCGAACTCGCTAGAGCTGGTTTGTAGTAAAATCTGGTCCTTTAATTGTTCCCGAACTGGACGAAATTAAAAATAAGTTATCTTTGGTGTATGGAGTGGATCAACCTTGTGTACTTGTCACTTGTTTAATGGTGGTCAGGTGATTCTTTAGAATTTTTTTTTGTCACTCTCAAGAAGTCCACACAACGTTGCCAAAAAAAGAAACTAGATGGATTTTCAAACGGTTTGCCATATTACAGCAGATTAGGGTTTAAAGACACGTACAGTAGAAGAGAATCAAATCATTTCGCAGGATCAAAGCATAGTTCTGTCAGACTTTTGCACACCCTGCTGATTGAGTCGCGGGATTAAGGCGGGCTGATTTATCCTATTTTCTTCCATTTCTTTATGGTATGGGGAAAAACCAACACGAACAAAAGGCTATAAAGGCTAGTTACATTTCATTGTTTGAAGTAATAATGCATTCCTGGAAAACGCGACTGCTTTCGGTAAAAGAGTGCGCACTTTATTGATTTTATACTCGAGCTTACCTTTGCTGTCAGTTAATGGTGATTCCTTAATTCAGTTTTTTTAAGAGATATAATGTCTAATTTTCTAATGCAGCGTAATTTTGTCCCATGTTTGCTCTGGCCTTGGCAACGAGCAACACTTTCAATGATACAGGACCTTGATCATGTGGCACGAAATTTCAGACAGCACTGTAGACCCAAAGTTCTCTGAGACGGAGTGCTAGCAGTATTAAAAACTCATTTCCTAGTTCAGAATATTCAATCAATAGTTCACAAGGTCGAGTTATAAAAACAATTAAATCGTAAAGCCGTTTTCAATCGGTCATTTCATATTAAGGCAAGAGAAAGAACTTTTCGTCATCGATGGAACACACACGGAAGCTTGTCTTACCTTCATCGCTGTCCTCAAGCATTTTATCCATGCTTTGTTTCTTTAGCGGCTCATCGCTGCAGTTGATGGTGTTTATGTTTGGTGGTGGAGTGGGTGGAAAATGGTGCAGCGTTCTAGTGCAGAAATCTGAACGCAAGGGCGTGTTGTTGGCCATTCTCACGCTCTCCAATCTTGAGACGTTCGAAACTCGCTCACAAGGCTGGTAGCTTGGTACAGCAGCAGTTGTGTGTATTGGGCCTGGAGAATGGAACCCATAGCCTGGAAACCGGTGTGCACACGATGAATTCATATCAGGCCCGTTATAGGCATAAGGATTTGGATAAGCCGGCGGCTGATAGTTGAAGTTTGTGGAGTAAAACTCATACATATTTATGATGGCTCTGGACGATACGATTTACGTCTGGTTTGTCGGGCGGCAGTTCTTAAATAACCCACCCTTTGTGGGAATCTGTCATCACATGGAAAGCTACACTGTGCGACTTCCAGTCGCTTTCTTTGAAGTTTGCAACCAATATACCGAGGTGTCTATCAAAACGCGGCTGTTTGCCGTCGGAAGAGCCCAAAGCGTTGTATTTTCGGTACTAACGTTTAGCAGATAGGAGGGAGTGAGGGATCCTGAAATATCGGAAATTACTACAACCGCCGCCATTTTGCGTTCCCCGTGTTTAGATCATGTCTCACTTCTCAAGGACGCTCTTGAGAATCTCACTTTGTGTGTTTTAGCTAATTACTTTCGAATCAAGCTCAATTGTTTTATTTTCAGCTGTTCTACAAATATTGAAGACTGTTTATGTAAAAGGCAATCCATTAGCAGTGTTTATTTACTTAGTAAACCTTTTTTTTCCTAGCGCGGTAAATTCCCACGCAGACACCTTTTTTACAGCCATTAACACTGAAATTCTCGTTTCTCCCGTCACAGTATCGTTCACAAGCTCGATGAAACGGGACATTTTCAGACGTGCGAAACTTTGATACCTCCTTGCAACACTTTGACCCGCGAGAAACAAAGCCCAGGAACGGCAAAACAGTTTGACACAGTTGTATGCACTCAAAACTACAAAGAAACCGCCGAAACCCTGCACAGCTTCCCATCATATGGAAATATTTATCCGCGGAACGAGTAAAGGACAGAAAGGAGCTGCACGTCACGTACTAACGTTCAAGTGACAAGAAAAATACTCTCCTTTCTCTTTGTAAAAACACAAGTCCAATTAGGAATTACAGCAATAAGCGACGTGACTACGTGTACAAAATAGAGACAACTTTAGTTTTATTTCAAGAGGGATATCTTATGACCGGACATCGTCTGAAACAGTACTCTTGAAAACACTTGATATGACTGTTAATGGCATTATAAAAACCTTGAAGACAGTTTCGAATTATGCCGACGTCTGTATGTGTGTACGGTTCGAAATAAATTGAATTCACTTTAGTCCTGGATGGAAATTTGAAAGCGGAGGTGTTCAACACTCATCCAGAAACAAATCTAGAAACAGTGGCCATTCAGCAGAATTGTCCCAAATGCGAGAGGGTAGCGAACCCACACAGTGAGTAGCGTTTCCGTTTTTGTCACGCGTTCGTTTCGCAGATTTTTGTCGCCAAAATTTCCTGTTTATCGCCGGCTCCTTTTATTTCTAATCACAATTGAGATAAATCTGCCACTGATGAAAGGTGATAGAAAGGAACACAAGCCGTCCCGGTCCTGGAAAATGTCTTGAACCGCGAAAATCGTTCAACCCTTGTGTTGATTAATTTCGGTCATTGGTTTCTACTTGTTTTGAGTGCCTAACTGACATACACTAACCCGGCATCTGCAATTAACTTTAAGAGGTCTTTTAACATATAGAAATATGAAATGGACCAGATCGTGTCACTGGATTTGAGAATTGTTGGTTATAAATGTCTTACGTGATTCTTTAGAAGGAGTTTTCCATTCTTTGTGGATAATATCTTTTATGCTCGTAACTCTTCACATTCCCAACAAGCTTCAAGAACGGTTGACCAAAAAACGAAGAGGGACAGGTTTGACTGGGCGGGAGGGGGAGGGATAGTCGCGTTTATAGCCTTGATAGGTTGAGGTCTGAAAACGGGTAAAGATTTTGACCAGTCAATAACTAGATCTTGACTAGTCAATAACTAGATTTTGAATAGTCAATAACTTTACTAGTCAACCAAAAGAACCATGGGGGCATACAAACGCATTCAGTTGTCTTTTCAACTCCAAACTTATGGTGATGGAGAGAGAAGGGACTAAAGTGTAGTGTTCAAGCTAAGTTTTACCAATTCTTGACCTCAACACACAGTCACTCTTAATAACCGTACAACAAAGCGTTATGTATTCGAAAAATGAATTACTTTACAAGACAGGTCTAAAACGCGCTTGAGTTTCATGGGCCAAGTCTGAAAACGGCCGAGAAAATGCTATGGTTCGACATAATTTGTACAACTTGGCGGCATACCTCTGCCAAGAATTCTGAGTTGTATTCTTACCCCTCCCCCCCTCTCTCGCCTCCCCTTCCACCTCCCCACCCCCTTCCGTGGAATTATTTTTCAATAAAAGACCGCCTAGTCCATGTGGCTGAGGTGATAAACCCCTTTTATTTACGCGAAAGTTTTGATGACACATTGACTTCGGTAATCTGTTGCACTTTCATGACTTCTAGAGGAAGCATCACCCACGACTTAATGTGTGACCGGCAGCTTAACACTGTTAAGTCCGGGATTTTGTTCAGAGCTTCCGCTGGAAAATACTTATTGATTGGGCTCGCGGCAAATTGCAAAAGAAAACCAGCGAAACACCGGTGAAGACAACTGAGACAGACGGAACAAGGAAGTAACCGTCCGCGGTTGAAAAACAGGCTGGCGCGAGTGTCGGGGCGACGCCCTTTTGCCACACCATCTAAATTACTCCGTGGTATAAATCTTTTGTGAAAGACTGCTTCATTTCGTAAGAATAAGGAGGAAACGTAAATCATGAAATAGAACTCAAGATCGTAATTCAGTGGTATAGTTTCTCTGTCTTATCTCAATGTATAACATGATATAAATTTGATTGGAGTTTTTTTCCGAACCTTACAAGTTAAAACTAGTTTGCCTCCTTCGTGACTGTAAGACTTACTTGCTATTCAAACAGCATTTTCCAATGTTTATCAAATCAAGAGGGACTTAACTCAGTATTTCAGAGTAGACTCCACCACGTGGCTGACAGAACACCGTAGTGAGGATTGGTCAGAATCGCTGTTAATTTAAAATTTAATTTATATGAATGTCAAAGTTTTGGTGTTTTTCGAATTCATATTTTTAACAATGTATGTCAGAAATAGAACATTTTTTATTCTGGTTTGACAGATTCTCTAAACAGGATAATTGTGTTGTCGAAAATCATAAATAATCAACAACCTCTTCGCTATTATTCACATATCTAAAACAAATCAAAAACTTTAGGATCACTTTAGTCTAAAATAACGAAGGTGTTACGATGTGCTGTTTTTTTTTAATGCCTTGATCAGCCTTTGATCCAAATCAGCCCACTGTTTTGGTTGGATCAAATCGTGGTAAAACATTTCAGTTTTCTAATTTCTAATTTTCATGGCAATCGAAAATTCTCGACGCCACGCTCTATGTGGAGACATTTCCGACCTTACGTTGTACGTAGACATCTTAAAGGAGTTAAAAACTCTCTCATGCTTTTTCTCAAACTTTAAGAACCCAATTTAGTAAAGTGTGACGTTGCAGCTTCCCAACCTATGAAAGGGTCTAATGTATTTCCTTATTAGTCTGCTGATCGAAGAGTAGCTTTTAGCAAACAGTCAAAGTGTTATGATCTTCCAAAGTTGAAAATAGAATAAATTTTTAGCACATCGTTCAAATTCCTTGAAGGAGTCTGTATGACATAATCTTTCTCAAATTTACATTGGAAACTGTTCACCTTGTTATGCCGCAGATGTACGCAGCAATGTATAAGAATTCGAACTATGTTATCTGCTGCTGCCAGAGAACACAGGGGTAACTTTTTTCCTTGCAAAGTTAACATTAGTTTTATAATCAGTCGATGTCGATAATCTACATCGTATTGACAATCCTTTACATGTATCTTAGAAACGCAAATGGGGCGAAGCGACCATACAAGCACGTAGGTACGTGCGTACCTCCGGAAACCAAGGTAAAGTATGTTTTTATAAATTTTCAATCAGCGGATTTTCAATCAGTGTTACACTCCTTACAAACCATTTATTTTCCCTTATCAACGACGGGACAAAGAAAAAAATCTCAGAATTTTCTGTTTATCCCAAGCTCGAGGCAAGACGAAAATATAGCCCGCTTTATCTCATTAACGACGCCAAACATTACCATCTTTCTGAGCTTGATATCTGTGTTAAAATCACTCAAGGCCATGCCTGTCTGCCTCGTGGACGCGATGTCAAAGCACAACGTTTAAAATTTACGAGATCAGCACGTTCAAATTGCGTAGGGTGCCACGTGCTATCCCTGAAAAGTCTTGATAGATAAATTTTCAATACGCATGAACCAATAACTAATGGTGGTTTAACTCATCATATAGAGCATCGGAATGCGGAATCCGAAGGTCTGAGGTTCGATTGTTCTAATTATTCAAATCTTTTTTCTTCTGTGCCGTGCTCTCCAAAAGTAGAAGGGCACATCTATCTTCATTTCACAACCAAGCTCCGAAATTACCTTCTCTTTTGCTCTATTTATTCACAAGTCTTTAACTTGTTTGGTCACGAGGAGGAATCAAAACACGTGTTGCCTAACAAAGAGATTATCGATTCCTCCAAACCGCTAATCTCCGAGAATTTCACACTTTTGCCAAAAGTCAGAGGTCCCATTGATAACTTTATTTGTCTCAACACTTTCGTGACTTGTGGTTTCCACTGTGTATAGAACAACCTTTTTGCGTCTGACCTGACGGTATGTCAAACTTTTCGTGCGGCGTTTTCCGATCATTATAGTAAGGTTATTAATGAGCTTTTATTGTGTCTTTTTGTGATATGTATTGTTGGCTACCGATGGCTAACCCCGATTATCACCCTTATTGACAAAAGTCATTTTATCCCTTTTCCCTGTATGCGCTCCTAAATACATTTATCGTACGTAATTATTCAGTTTCAAAACAGCCCGTCGAAAAGGAACTGGCCAAAAATACCTTGTTTCTGAGCGTTTAATTGCGTATTTAATTTCACATGATAACGACAGTACCTCGCCCATATTCAGTTCATTGAATATCTTCTTGGTATGTTTATTCACATCAAGAACTAAGTTGAAGTCGCGTACCGAGATTAAAAATTAAGGCGGCTCGATTGTCGCCAGCATCAAACGATGATTTCGAAAAGGATAACCAGTAGACTGCCGTATGCCTAGTGTAAGACAAACATTGATTCCCTTGTGTCCACTCTTCAAAGAGGTGTAGTCTTGACTGGTTTGCCACCCTGTCAGTCAGAACGATATACGACCTGGTTTTCCTTCTCCATTTAGGTCCCTATTTGTTTATAGTTTTGCGAGAAACTTCGGATGACCCTTCTGTTAATGTGATTTAAAAAGCACGTTTACTGATTTGACTTTCTTTTGGCGTAGCTGGTGAGCTTAGAGATCTTCAAGTAAATCTTTAGGGTTAAAACCAATCTTGCTCTATTTGTGGCGAGCAATGAGTATAATATGCGAACGGTTTTTCGTTACTGGATTGATCAGTAACGCTGTAGTCTTTGAATTTGGTACGTGATCAACAACTTTCAGCAACGGAAATATGATTTCAGTTCTATCAACAATAGTTTCACCAGCTAAGGGAGTATGGTCAGGACTGCCCTGGAGGATGAAAGTGTGCTTGCGTGCGTGCGTGTTTATCATTACTTTTTTTTTTGTTGACGTGCTTATGAAGCCAGGTTCACTCCTCGAGCAAAAAAGAAAGCATAGCGTGGAAAAAACTTAGAAAAAAATAGCCATTTGTTCATTTGGTATTAGTCAGAAATGGCAAGTCAAACTGGTCGATTTATTAAGAGAATTATTTCATTAATAATAAGTGCTGTCTTCCCAGATCGAGCAATTCCTAAATTGTATCCACCATTCTCATGCTGATGTTTTTTTTTAAAAGCCTAGAGAGACCTCTGAAGCTGAAAACCTCTGTTAACATTGACAGTTTTGACCGGTTTTGACAGCTGGTTCTTAAAAGATGTTATTATTTTTAGTACATCGGCTAGACTGGAAAGTTCTCTTAGGGCTGAAGCATCCATTGCCTCACTCGGCTGTCTCTGGGAGTTCTGCCATACCATACAAACAGCGTCGTCTTCGAAAATACATTGAGTGATGAGGTAAATACATATTTCGATACATGTACTTAGTTATGTTTGTTTTGGTGCAACCTCCATCTGATTGCGCTGAAGATGATGTGACAACAGTTGGATACCTGTCCAATGGGGA